CTTTGATATCACAGTTTGTAGATCATGGAACCTTAGACTTAGAGCTGTCAAGGGCCTTAGAGGTCACCTTGTCCAGCCTCTCCCCTTTCTGCAGATGAGAAGACTGAGGCCCAGGGTTGTGAAATGACTTGCCCATGGTCACACAGATAGTAAGCATCCGAGCAATATATGAATCCAAGTCTCTTTCCGCTATACAATTTGATCTTCAGCAACTGTGGAAAATAACAATAGATTTTCCCTTTGGATATTGAATAAGAGCTTCAGCACCTCCAATGGAAGAATACCTCCTGCCTTCCTGAATCAACCCATTTCATATTAAGACAACTTAAGTAATTAAGGAGCTTTCCTCTACGTCACATAGAAATGAGACTCCTTGAAATGTTCAACAGTGCAATGTTACTCCAACTTTGCCCTCTGCAGACAAGCAAAACAAGATGAATTCCTCTTTCACACAACAGACACACAAATACTTGGAGCTGGCATTCATACCCTCTTCCTTAAATTTTTTCTCCTCTATACATCCCCACTTCCTTCAACTGATCATTGTGAGGCACAATCATAAATCTATTCTGCTCATCTTTCTATGGATGTGCTTCAGTTTGTCAATGTCCATCTCAAGATGTGGATACCAGAACTGAACATAAAACTACTGATGTGGGTCAACCAGGGCAGAATACAGAGTCATCATTCTGGACGCCATGTTCTCTTTAATATAGGATTAAACTGTGGCCACTAATTTTAAATAAAACGTAATTTTAAAATATATAGCTTGTTTACTTTTACATATTAAAGTCAGCATGTGACTACTTGTAACGAGCCACGACTTTGTCAGAAATATCCCATTAAAGACTTATAAATTGAATTGCCTTTGATTTTTAAGAAATTGTTCCACCTTAGTTGTTCTGACTCCTCCCTCCCAACTATCTGGTTACAAAGAATAATTCTAAGGTCCTGGCTTCATGTAGTAAAGTGATTTAAATATTTCCTATTACATATTGTGAAAAACATTTACTTACTTGGAGTAGTATTAATCTTCACTCACAAGTGAAATTCTAGGTATGGATGAGTACTCAAGGATCTAATATTGCATTCACAGTAAAAGAAAATGGTATATAGAGGTTTCATAGATTTATAGAGTTGGAAAGTAGATTTGGCATCATCTGGATTTGGCCACAGATGAGGAAACTGAGGCTCAGAAAGGTAAATGACAGAACTGAGACCTAAACCCAGGTCTCTCCACCCCTCATCTAGTACTACTGTGATTAGATTACCTGCTCTCCATCTACAGTATGAATTACAAGTCCCAATTAATATCTTTCATTAGTTTCATTTAATACATAAAATGAGCAACTAGTCAAAGATTGACAAATTTGAAGTCATTTGAAGTTGGTTTTTAAAAATCATCACTTACCTTGTTTTCTTTTTTTTTAAAAAAAGCATGCCTTTTTTCAATTGCAGAAAATAGTTACAGAATGAAAAAAAGCACTAAATCTGAAAAACATGTCATTCTAGAGTATGATGATGTGACCAACTGCTAGCCAAATGCATACAAAATGATTGTAGCTCATATTTTCAGAAGCAAGGAACAAAAAGTGTCCATTAGCCAGGAAATTTGAATTATGCTGGAATCTAATTGGGATAATTCAAGATAAGAATTCCACTTTTCAAAAATCGTAAGCATCTTATAAATAAAGACAAAAAGCTTCCCAGCCAAGGATATGTTTTTAAAGGCCTTCATTAGCATTTGTAATTATGTTCACTCTACATAAATCTTTACTTTGAGAAAGCGGCAAATGACCCCATAGGTCCAGATTAGGAGGAATAATGAATTCCATGAAGTGGGTGCATTACTCTAATTCACACTGCATATTTCCATGGGGCTGGAACCAATTGCCCTATTTTAAATGATTAAAATTTCCAATAGTGCAAATTCAAATACATGCTACTCCTTCTAAGACCCAGACCCATTATTCCCACTAATGATGACTTAGATGCATTTGCAAGGCTGGTTGAATTACTAGGGGTCCAGTATCAGATTGGGGGGAAAGGGATGGAAGAGAACGACCTACTGTGAGTTTTGGTTCCTTTGCAAGAAGCTTTCCAACTAAATGTGAGAGCACTTGATTTACACTGAAAGTCCTGGATTCAAATCCCCTCTGTGCAATCTATTAGCTAAGTGACCTTAGGTCTCTTAAACTCTTGGAGCCCAAAGTTCCCTTTATCTGTACAATTTGAATGACAATGCTTTTACCACCCACCTCAAGCAGTTGCTGACCTTTTAATACTAGGTAAGTTATGAGTTATTATTATGTAATGCTAAAGCACTTTGCAAATTATAAAATAGTTTATACTATAAGCTCTTATCTTGCCTGGTCATACTGAGTTTTTTTTTCCTGTGAAGAAGACTTGAGTTTCATATAAGACTCTTTAATAAAAACAACTTTTTCTGATAACATCAATCCATATAACTGAGGACAAAAAAATCTATAAAATTTGGGGGTTTTCTTCACATTTTTTACATTTAATGCTTCTATTATTTCTAATTACAGAATTGATTAATATAAAGTTAACAGGGAATTCTGAATAATTTTCTAAACCTGTAACATAATGCAGAGAATTCAATGCTAAGCACCAGGAACACTAAGACAAACCCCAAGAGTTCCTGCCCTCAAGGAGCTTATATTATACTGGGATGGGGAGAGGGGGAGAGAAATACATGTGAAATAGATAAGTAAATTCAGATAACCTTATAGAGCACAGGAGGAATCACAACCTTGGGGGAATTAGAAAATGCTTCACAAAGGAAGTAGCCCCTTAGCTATATCTTTAAGGACAATAAGAATTCTTAATCAATAAACATTTATTAAAGGCCTGCTTTGTGCCAATCACTAACTGCACCAGAAATACAAAGAAAGGCAAAAGACTGTCTCTGCCCTTAAGGAATTCACAACCTAATGTTTAAAAATAGAGATAAAGAGGGATGGCATCCTAGGTATGGGAGATGGCTTGTGGAAATGCACAGAGGTGAGAGTAGGGACACTGAGTTTAGTAAAATTTGGTAATCTAGTTTGAGTGGCATACTGAAGGAATGAAGAGTAATAATGTGAAATAAAACTGTGAAGCTGACAGGAGCCAGACTATAGAGGTCGAGTCAGATTGTGGATTTTATGGGTTAAATGAATCTGAATGTTATAGGTTAAGAAATTAACCTGGAAATAGTTTTGATTTTATTATACGTCATTATAGCATGTTTTGCAAAAAAAAATAAATAAATAATCAAAATGATTGCTAAATTTAATGATGGCTAATCCAACTTAAAGTAATTATTCTTGTACTAAAAAAAACAAAAACAAAAACAAACCATTAACTGAGCTTATAATTAAATCATCTTTAAGTATCCATTTGGGGGGGGGGGGCAATTGAGGTTAAGTGACTGGCCCAGGGTCACATAGCTAGTAAGTGTCAAGTGTTTGGTCTCAGGCTAGATTTGAACTCAGGTCCTTCTGACTTCAGGGTTGATGCTCTATCCACTGCGCCACCTAACTGCCCTAAGTGTCCATTTTTGCAAATCATGAATGTGTTCGAATTTGTAATATGTCCTTCCAAAATAAGAGTTTATAATGAAAATCCTGGCAGACACATCTGTAAAGAAGTATGACTCAGATATCAGAACAGTTTCCTCATAGTCCCTTTCATGTTGATGGTAGATGCAGAATATTTTTCTAGATCACAGAAGGTCAGTAACAAATCCACATGTTGACATAGAAAGTAAAACTTCCTTCCCTCTACAAAAATATTTGAGTTTATCCCCTTGAGAAAAGGCTACTCTATAGATCATTCTTAAGGATGTTAGGGAGATGATATAGCTGTAGTTCTTGCCAATGCAATACAGATCTCAAATATGCAGCAACTGGTCACTAAGGTGCTCAGAAGCAGTCTAGAGTTTCTCAGATCTCTATAGGATATGCCATTAAATCTTTTCCTCCTGCTGGGTCTGACTTTTGGGGGAAAAAGCATATGGTATAAATATAACAGTACATTTGGTAGTGAATGCAGTGGTATAATGATGGCTCAAGTTTGTTTCTATGGCCTTTTTAGTAATCGCTGTATGGTAAATGTGGACATGTTTACTAGTGAATTAGAAATCATTCTGGAATTTTTCTCTCCTAAGATACTGTGTAGAATATTAAAATGAGGAAAGGTATGTCAGAGATAAAGTTTACAAAAGTCCAGCAATTCTTGTAGATACACAATATCTATCACCTATATACTAGAATATAACTTCTTGGTAAAGTATAAGGCTGTTAATAATACAAGGACCAAAATAACAAACCAACATCAGCATCCTTAGCATTCAAAATGTCCTGATCGCTGAATGGAAATGGAAATTTTTAAGGTGAGGAAAATACAGTGTACTATTTACACGAAATAGATAAAATAAATGATTTTATCTGAGTTGTAATTAATTTGAAAGTTGAAATTGTATACATGTAAAAATGCAGGATGATGATGATGATGATGATGATTATACTAAAAGACATTTATATAAGTACATCAAAATTTACACCAAATTTTCCTGGAGAGGTAAGTAGTATAACCCTCATCTTATGGGAAGGAAACTGGCCCTAAGAGATGAAGTGACTTTCCCCAAAATCACACAGGGATGAACTATCAGTGGAAAGATTTGAATCCAGGTCTTTGGACTTTGAGTCTAATGTTCTTTCTATTCTGCCATACTTCCTCTCAAAATATATAGATTTAAAAAAAAAACAGAAATGGAGGTTTAGGGGAAACTCAAATGTAAAGGAATTGTGAACTATTTGATAGAAGATCCAGTTTAACAAAAAAGCATTAAAGAAACACAAATATACAAAACTTCCTATTATATAAAATGCCCTTATAGAGAAAGCATATCGACTTTTATGGAAAATGTTTGCTTTGTTACCTAAGATGAGATAAACATCACTTGGTTAATTTTGCTAATATACATATTTGTGCACTAATTTTATTTGCCATTAGTAATAAGACAATTTTCAGTCATCAGGCACATTAGAATCAAATGCCACATTGAATGAAGCATAAGACATCAAAAATTCCATAACACATAATGTTATTTTCTAATGTATCACTGCTTCATAATGAAAAACAATCTAATACATGGATTTTGTATCAGAACACTATTGAAAACAATAGTGCCCATCAAAAGTTAATAGAACTGGGAAGTACAATGATTAATACAAAAACAAATTACATATTACAAATTTTCTTTTGTTCTTCACTTACCATGATGCAAACTGTGAGGATTTAACCTTTAAGGGTTAAAGAGTTTAATCAATGTCAATGTCTGATCTTCTGAAGGCGATAAAGAACAGTCTGTCTAGCGATACCCAACAGAACATCATTTTGTCAAGCCACAAAGCACCCAAAAGCTTGTCAAGTAAGTTACCAGAAACCTCTTTGTGGTTAGAACTCAGCTCCTTCCTGCTTGACCTATTATTTGATATTTGACCACTTGGTTGCAAGACACTTGCTCTTTCCAGCTGAAATGTCACTGGGGCATCTTGTCAGCTCCCCGACATCTCGGCCTGACATACAATTTTACTTTTGTGTGCTACAAGGCAGAAAATGCAGGGCAATGGCCTTGTTTGAAATTCTGTCAGCATCAAAGATGGGCGTCACTCTTGGGCCCTACCAACAACAACAAAAAAGGAGTCTATTTTGAAGGTCAAGGCAGCCATCACCTTAAAGTCTTGCAGCTTATACTAAATATATTACCTGCAACACTGGTTTGGGAGCTGTCCTTGTAAAGTACATAAACATACCATTGAAATTCTCCCTGCACAATTGTTCGAGTTTCTTATCAAATGCAGTTGATAAAAGGATGAGTTTTCAACGCCTGCAGGGACCAGATTCAGCAGTTAACTTAACTTGTTCAAATGGGCAAATAGTATCATGTAGCTTTACAAGGAGCACCCTGACCTTCTCACATTGACCAGGAGTGACATTATTGTGCAGGAGGAGAAGCAGTCACATCATTTCTGTTTTGCACAACCTGCTTAAAGTTTGCAACTAAATGCTTGTCTTCAGTTGAGCTGACAAGAGAGAAGAGGGGGCTCAGTGAACCATGGCAGGGCTGCCATGAAATGACAGGAATCATTGGCATACATTTCAAATAGCTCTCTCGATCCTATTAAAGTATTGCAGCCCTGCTTTAAAATAGACAAGTATGAAACAACTTTGATAGATAGAGACTAAAATGGCTTATTGATTTTTTTAAGTCTGAGGAAAATTACCCAAAATGTGTCATTCTTTAACATTTAAAAATATGTTACATAAAAATGTGCAACTATAATAATAAATAAAACTTTAAAAAACCCAAGTTGGTTATTTCATTATGCAAGGAGACACACATACACACAGAGGCAGATATTGAGGAATCACACAAATTAATAATAAAAAAGACAAATCGTTGTCACATATACTGAAACAAAATTTAAATAAGAAAATCCTTCACACAGCATTTTAATTCTTAAATATAACTTCCATGTTATTTTCATAAAAATCAGAATCCATTTTGTACTGTTCTTTTGGAATTAGTAGATATATTCACAGCAGGGGAATGGGAAGCCTGAGAACGGGGTAAACTATTTACAAATGCTTCCTTTAAGAAAGTGTAAGTTGTGTCGAGTTCAGCTTTCAGTGGCAAGAAATCCCCATTCATGTTTCGGTCAGCATGAAGAGTATTTCTTGAAGAAATGGAGAGATTTGAATGGTCTCGTGATCCCTAGAATGGTACATATAAAATAAAAAAGAAAGAAAGAGAGAAAAAGAAGTCAAATATAATGACTAAAATATCAAGTAAGTTTGTAGTGGCTCTACTTTAATGTAAACGAGATTAATATTACCATGATATACATAAACATGTGAAAATTAAAATAAATTCAATTGAATACATGTACATCTACATAATAACTGTTTACTGCTAGCCAGCATAAAACACTTCTAATAAAACATTTTGTGCAGACACTAGAATTTGAAAAAAATATACTTACATCAAATAATAAATAGAATCTTGCAAACAATAACTTTTGTGAATACTTACAGCAGGCCAGCGCTAAGGAATATTATCTTGCTTATTTTAGAGTCTATATAGTATACTGTTTCATCTCCTAAGAAGGAAGGAAGGAAGGAAGGAAGGAAGGAAGGAAGGAAGGAAGGAAGGAAGGAAGAAAGGAAGGAAGGAAAGGAGGGGGATAGAGCAGAGGAGAAGAGGGGAGAGGACAAAAAAGAAAAAAAGATGTACACATCTATGTTTATTAAATTACTAACCAGAATTTTTGTTGTTCAGGCATTTCAGTCATATCTTACTCCTCATGACCCCATCTGGGGTTTTCTTGGCAGAGATATTGGAGTGGTTTGCCATTTCCTTCTCCAGTTCTTTTTAGAGATGAGAAACCGAGGCAAACAAGAAGTGACGTGCCTAGGCTCACAGAGCTAGTAAGGGTCTGAGGTGAGATTTGAACTTAGGAAGGTGGGTCTTCTTGACTTTAAGCCTGGCTCTCTATCTACTGCACCATCTAGCTGCCCTAACTGGAATTACTTAATGGCTAAAGGTGGTAGCAAGAAAATAAATCAACCCTTGTCTTCACTTCACAGATATTATTCTAAAACATAAATTACAATTTGGAGCAATTTTGTTTTTTGTTACAATTGTCTGAGATTTTGCCTTTGCCTTTAAAATTAATGTCATTATTCTATGTCATAAAAGCTGCAGTTGGACAAACTTTAATATATGTGATTACAACACAGAAATATCAATTTGTTGGATATTTTAAAACATTATTTGAATCAGAAAGATATTAAAGATCAAACATGTTCCATGCTATATACCCTTGAAGTACCTGGAAGTTTGATTTACACTTTGGAAAAGCTCCCTGTTTAACTCCTAATTCTCAGCAGTAATCACTGATATGTATTTGGCACAGAGGGAATCTGAACATCAAAAGTTGGGCATTATTTCTAGGAAATGTAGAGATGGTAGAGAAATAGTAACCAATTGTATGCTGGAGTTATTCCAGACTGACACAAACCAACACGCTTAAGATTATAGGCATAATGAGACTTCAAGTTGAGATACAAATTCTGAAGTGTAGTGGTTTCTTTTTTCTATTAGATTTTGACCACAATATAGTGTGATATAGAAACAGCTTTAACATGTTCTAGAAGCTGCCTTAATATGTTTAAGTGTAATACAAAACTATGTTTTCTACATGTAAAAAATAAAAGGAAGTCACAGATGACTTTAAGAGAGTATTAGGAATTCCACTATAGTATACCTCACAGTTTTTTGGGGTTTTTTTCTAACATACGACTGGAGAAAAATCAATGGCTGCATCTAACACCTAGTTCAGCAATTTTCTTTGATGTTGGCTCTTGATTTCTTGATACTCTACCGCAAGCTTATAGCTGACAAAAATCATCCCTTTTTATGCTAGGCCTTAAAAAGATAAGTAAAATGGCAGCATATTTGAGTGGATAGATGAAGAAGCTATTTAAACCCACCCCCAAGGAAGGAAAAGAACTCTACCGATTATGAAGTAAGTTAGTTAGCAGATTAATCAATGGTGGTTTGTGAAATCTCAAAAACTCCAATCTGGGAACTATGGTTGCTATCTATCCACTTATCCCAGATGGGTCAGGCCTGGGTATCTCTAACTGTGGACATATCACATACATCTAAGGATTAGGAAAGAGTGTTCTACTACTTTTATTGATACTGAACCTATATTTTAAGATGTTTCAGGCTGGGTATGAGATTATCTACTAAAGCATAAGCTCCTTGAGACCCATAACAAACTTCGTTAATATTTTATGTCATATTGTAAGCATTTAATACATATTTGTTGAATGAATCCTATCCTCATTTCTGCTTGTTCTAGAACTGCAGGTAGGGTATTAGGTGTGTTGGGCTAACAGGACAGTCTATACCAAGAGAGCTTTCATTTGGTCCCTTCTCTTTTTTCCTTTTCTCCTTCCCTCATAGCTTTTATAAGTAGTATTCAGAATAGCTGCTGCCAAACAGCAGCCTGATCTAATACAAACTGTGTATAAGAATCAGACTTAGAAGGTATCAGTTAGAAGGTATCTTAAAGGTCATTTTACCCACCTCTTCTTAAACATTCCTGACAGGATGTGCTTAAAGATCATGAATGACAAAGAATTCATTATGTTCCGACTAATGGGTCCATTCCACTTCTGAAATTTCTAATTTTTAATGTTTTTTCTTATATTCAGTCAAAATTTGCCTACTTGTAGCTTCTACTCCTTAATCCTAATTCTGCCCTCTTGGGCCAAGAAGAAAGGGTCTGTTCATCTCTTTCCCCTCCTCCTTCCCATATGACAACCTTTCAAGCATTTGAAGTCTATTAACATTTTCCTCCCTGCTTTCTCTTCTAAACTAAATATCCTCAGGTATTTCAACAAATCCTTCTATGGCACAGTTTTGAGTCCTCTCACTATCCTGTTTCACCTCTCTCCAAATACACCCCAACTTCCTAAAATGTGATACCCAACACTGGATACAATACTTCAAAATGTGGTCTGACACAAAGGAGTTATCACTTCACTTACTTTGGATACCATTCATCTATCTATTAATATAGCTCACATGTATTAAAATCAGATTGGCTTTTTTGGTTAACTCACCACAGTACAGGCTTTGTAGTTCACTACAAACCCTCAGGTCACAGAATCAGAAATTTAGATCATGATTTTCCTCAGGGGTCTCTAGGTCTAATTTATATCAGAAAAATAATCCCTACCAAAGCATAGCAGAAAAATGGTCACTCTGCCATTGCTTGAAGATCTCCAATGAAGGGAAACCCACAATTTCTCAAAGCAGTCCATTACACTTAAGGATAGCTCTAATTGTTATGAAGATTTTCCTAACATGTAGCCAAGTTATTCTTGTTATCAGACTCCTTGCAAAAGAATGTCACGATCTCACAGATTAAGGCAATATGCCTTAAGTTGACATTTAATGACATAAAAGAACTAAATTTGTTTTTTTTTTCTAGAGTACTTTCTGTACTTTATACAAAGTATATTAAAAATATTCTATATCAGAATGAGCATCCATATAACGTCAAACAAATATTCTTCCTGATTGGGTACATACCTGTCATAAGACCTGTACATTCCATTGTTTTATTAGTCTCTAAAACTTCAGTCAACTGCATAAAATAAATTTGTATCTTTGTAACTTGCAGTCATTAATCCTAGACTTTCACTCCTAGACCAAGCAAATCAGTATAATCCTTCTTCCTCTTGACAGATCTTTCAATGTCTCTGCGGAGTTTTCTCTTTACCAGGTTGAGCAATGAGAGTTTCTTCAATTGATTTTAAATGACATGAACTTAAGCACCATTTTGGTGGCCCTCCTCTGGACACTCTCTAGGTTGTCAAATTTTCTTCATAAAATGTGTTCCCCAGAACTAACTCAACACTCCAGATGTGATCAAACCAGGGCACTACACAGAAGAACTATTGCCTCCTCATTCCTGGCAGTGATGCCTTTCTCAATGCAGCCTAACATTGCAATTATTTTTCTTGACTGCTATAACACACTGTTAATTTCCAGCAGCTTCCAGTCCACTAAAACTCTTAGATAATTTTCAGATATCATTTAGCTATGTGCTTCCTTCAACTTGTACTCATAAAGTTGACTTTTTGAACCTCAGTGTAATACTTTACATTATTCAAAAGAGATCTGTGATCTCATCAATTTAAGAGTTCCTGACAATGATAAATATTGCCAGCCATCCATGCCTGCTCATTCTGTGCAACTCTTGTCCAAGGCCCCCAAAAGTTTATAGAAGTTGAAGGCAAAGGGTAAGGAAATAAGCATTTACATAACACCTACTATGTGACAGGTACTGTGCTAAGTACTTTACAAATATTCTCTCATTTGATTGTCATCAGGGGATCCATCCAACATGTTGTAAGCCTTCCTTGATTTCTCTTGACTTAGAAAGGATACCAATGTTGCACTCTGACTATAAACTTGTTATTTTTCCTTTTTGCCACCTAACCATACACATCTCTTTACTCCTCCTCTTCTTCAGAATTCCCCATTGCAGCCATTTTGGGCCTCTCCACTACCTCTGTGGAATACTTATTTTTAGTACTTCTGAGGCAGTTTGTGTTCCATATTTTTCTGTCATATAGCAACACTGGCAGGATGTTGCTACTGAAAAGATGAGGCTTTGCTTTCATGAGCAGCTTTGTGTCAGTAAAGGAGCTCTGCAATTTCCTAAAAGCAATCAAGTCTACTCCTTTCCTTCTATTCAACTCTGGGAACACTCTGTCTATCCACACTGTCTATCCAAGATGCACAAAGGTTGGACAAATTCTATAGCATGTCCATCCAGATATACATATATATACACACACACACACATATATATATACACACATATATATATACATACATACACACACACATATATATGTATACACACACACACACACATATATATATATACATATATACATACATACATAGAGAGAGAGAGAGAGAGAGAGAGATCTGGGCAATAGACATTTTTCATCCACTTGATCTTTCCTATGTGGATGGACAAACTCCTTTGAGTGATAACAGGTTTTTCCAGGAGTCTCTGCAATATTCTGATGTTTAATGTAATCAGCACAATGTCACTGCCAAATAGGAGCATCTGGAGGACTTCATTATTCATGGGGAGTCCCTCTTCAATCTGGACTGTGAAA